GCTGTAACAACCAAAAACAAACGAGTAGATGCACCCTAGCTGTCACTTCTACTCGCCCGAGTAAATGCGCCCTAAAAGAGCCACTTTTGCTCGGGTAAACCGAACTACGAATGGCTTGATCCTCTTTCGAGGTACGTAGGCAACCCTAATCAGGCGCAGCCGTAACAACACCAAAGTCCAAACTTTGTAATGACCAAACACGGTCTAGGCGATATCCACATTCCCGTCTGCAGACGAGAACACAGGTACTCGCACCCACAAATCAGCCATGTCCTGATCAGACACTTGGTTGAGGGACCAAAAGTCGCATCCCAACAGGATCGACATGAGAAGGAAGTCAGGACCGCTATCCGACTAAAACGAGTAAATGTTTTGGCCGACTAAACTCGTTAGGTCACCGACTAGCCGGTCCGGTACCTTTCTTTTAGGCACGAATATGCGTAAACGGTGATGAGATTGGGATAAACTCTCAAACACTTAACCATATTTTATAGAAAAACATTGGATTGAGGCACGCTCAGAAGGCGGCAAACCGAGTTAAGATCTTACAACAAAAGATCCAGCAGGACCTTAACAAAAAGATAACAGAAAATTCCTAACGTAAATAATAATACAACAACAAGAGACGATCAAGCGTCTCCCTTGGAGCCGGAAGGATCACCAACGTTGGTAGCAGCCAACTCCGGTCCCGACCCCTTCACAATTTCGCCGTCTTCAACGATAGTAGGATTTTCCACAAGGACAGTCGCAGACGCCGGCTCGTCCCCATCAACTCTCTCGGGTAACTTCTCATGCTCGACCGGAGTCTCCCCTTGATCACCAAACGCCTCTCCAGCTCCGTCATCACCTTCCTTTTGAGATGGAACCATATCAGTTGGAGTCTCCCGCGACCTGCCGGTAGATTCATTTCCAAGAGCTTCGCCTGACGTCCGGAGCTGCGAGGCTGTCTCCGATCTAACCAAATCATCATTTGACCCATACGGATCGAGTGTAGCCGCGAACTCTTCGTTCACGAACCGAGAAGGAAGAACCAACGGAGACAAAGTGAGATCAGCATCGGATAGAGGAGGTACGTTCAATTTGGCAACGTTGGCTTCATGCTCCTTTTCTTGACCGCCGAAGACGTCAATCAGCTCCTGCGTGATACCAACCCTTTCCTCCTGGATCATCTCAAGACATTTCCTTGTCCCAGAAGCCTGATCGAACAAGCTTTGTTCCCGGTCAACGAGGTTACGGCGATCAAGGTAAACCCGAACACGATCAAGACAACGGTTAGCTTTCTCAATCATAGCCGCTTCAACACGCGCCCTTTCACGCGTAACCTCCTGGCTCCGCGAGTCCCTCAGACGCTGCCTTTCACTGATCAGCTTTTGCGTCACGGCATCCCTTTCAGCTTGAAGCTCCGCCTTCTCCTGTTCCAATGCGGCATTGGCCTTCTCAAGACTCGCTTTCTCCCGCGTGAGCAATTTTTTCGCAGCACGATCAGCCTTCAATATCTTCTCGAATCCGACAAACTTCTCACGAAGGATCTCCTTCTCACTCCTGTAGTCGGCCTTGATCTGTTCGATGACGCCGAGTCTCTTGCGAGCAAGTTGCTCAGAGTTCCCAAGAAGAACCATCGTCTGCTTTAAAGTCCTATCGTATTTCTCGACGAGGACGTTCATGCTCCCATCAGCCTAAAAGTAAACATATGTTGCGGGATCAGCGTGAGTAAAGATAAAACCGTAATCATCAGCACTTTAATCAAAGCACATACCCGTCGGTTCGCCAGTGCTGCTTCTGTATAATCGTCCTTAAAGAAAAGATCTTTCACTTGAGGCATCTCGATCGGCCCACCTCGGATTTGTCGAGTAAGATCCGCGCACCTATCCGGATTGTGTACCAATGGAGTCTTTTCATCGTATGAGAAGTTCACACGGTCCGCAAATTCAACAAATGGTCTCTTACCGAGCGAACCTTCGGATTGGCTCCTTCTCTCCAGAATATCGGTTCGAGAGGGATCTACAGGTCGACTACGCGCCTCAATCTCATCACTGACGTTCGATGCTCCCGTAGTACCGTCGACAACCTTCTTCTTCTTTTTCTTCCGCGGACTTTCTCCCGGACCTCTTTCTTCAGGGTCGTTCCCGGAGGGACCGCCATCGATGGAAGTTTCACGGGACCTCTTTCCCTTCTCCTTCTCCCCGACATCTGAACCGCCTGCGTGCTCTTCGAGAGGAGTACCCTCTGTCGATGACGGTACTTTCTTCGTTACTTGACTCTTCCGTTTTTTCTTCTTCTTCGCTTCGGGAGCCGGCGGATCGATGCCAGTAGACTGATCAGTCGGGTTTGGGTCGAGTGGCTGAGAAACCTCAGCGTCCTTACCCCCGTCCGTTGCGACATTAGGAGTCGCCTTCTTCAGCATCTGGAGTTTCCCTTTAAGCAGAGCGCTCAAATCTGGTCTTCCCGACATCTTTCTCGCTTGGGTGAGTAGTTTCTGTTGTTTCCGGGTAAACAAGGACAAACGAGACTTGCGCGCCGAGACTATCAGAGGCTGTCTTGATTCCCAATCAACTGCGAAAGCAAAATTGTTAGTCTGTCAGCCGGAACCTAAAGTCGAATAAAAAAAAAAATGTCTTTACCTCTCTCTATGCGAGCCTGCTGTCGACGAATCCACTCGCGACTCAGATCCGGCCAGTTCAGATGGCTTTGAGTTGCAATGGCTTGTGCGATCTCGAAGAAATTTTCCGGATACGCGATCGTGTTCGGATGACGACCTGCAAAAGTAAAAGGCAAGGTCAGGAAACCGACGAACGTAACAAACAACACGGTGCGCGTTATCTACCAATTTCTTTGTTCCACAACACCGGGAAGTCGTCTTCAATAGCTTCCGCAAACGCAAACTTATCGGCTTTGACGTAAAAGTACGAGCGCTGCCAGTTCGGAGTCTTGCGGGGCTGACCGGTCAACACATTATAACTTGGGCGCATCTTAACGGAGAACAAACCTCCCCTCTCCGCCTTCGTAGAAGTCAGCTCCTCGAACACTCTCACGCTCATGGGAACATCTATCTCCGCAGCCATCACCATCAACATAACAGCATTCCGAATCGAGCCTATCTTCAGCTGGCTGATTGCTACTCCCCGCCTCCTCGCGTATGCCGAGATCAAACGCGGAATTGGAAACCAAAGCTTCGAGTCATCCTCGAAGTAAGACTCATAGAGACATTGGAAGCCAACTGGAGGCGACCAAGGCCTCTGCTCTTGGGTAGGAATCGCGTAGGTCACTCCGGCTCCTCTGCAAGATTGCAGAATACTTCTTACAGTTGAGTGATTCGATCGAGTTCCGAAGACGTTCTCCCAACGTTGACCTTCTGCCCAAGGATCCCGCGCCGACTCCGAAGGGAGAGCATTTAGCTCCTCGAAGGTGCCATCGAGATGAAGAATAGACGGCTTGCATTCGATCAGATCGAATCTAACGATTCGATGCCTTAGCCAAAGAGTTCGAGGGCTCTGATCCGGCGACGCCGTGTCCTCACCGCCCTCATCGGAGCTCGAACTTTCGGCATCCTCCTGATCGGACTCGTTACCCGCGCGACTAGAATCTCCCTCATCACTCTCTTTTTCGCCGGCTAAATCGTCCTCCTCCCGCTCAGACGCGCTACCCGCGCGACTAGAATCCCCTTCTTCATCGGCTGAATCATTCTCCTCACTCGCCAAATCCGTTGCCGAGTCTCGGCGCAGCTCGAGCCTCTCCCTATGCAAGGCATCGCGATGAATCAAACTGAAGTCTTCTATCGGACTTCCGTTCGCCGTAACATCATTGACCTGATCAGTGGCGCAGGCGATCCCTTTGCCCTTTTCCTCACGCGATAACCGTCCCGACGAAGCCATAACCCGAAGCAGAATACTTAGAGAGAGAAAGTTAAAAGTAGAGAGAAGGGAGAGAAGAAAGTACCTGAGTTTGCAGAGAAGAATAATGAAAGAGGGAGAGAATCTACCTATTTATAGCAAAGTTCTGAGGCACAATTCTCTAAACGCAATTAATGCAGTTAAACGGGCCTAAATAAGCCCATTAACCGCAGAAACCCAATAGATCATTCGAGATCTACTAAACTTTAACCTAATCCAGTTTGGTTAAGCCCTTAAAACCGATTTACTCCAACCGAGATTAAACCGGAGCTAAACCGAGCAGCGACTGAGATTGAACCAGAAAGCGGTTAAGAACCGAACGAGCATCTACTCAAGCTAAGTGTTACTCCACGAGTAATGACTCAATAAATTGCTACACATGTTGAGACGCGATGCCTTTGCGAGCCAATAGAAGACGCACTAATCGCGAGACTAGATGCGCTCAAGGCGTCGCCTAAACATGCCCTTACAGGTATCGTCTCAACCATGCTACTAAATAAGCTCCAGATGACGCATTTACGCGACAGTGGAGGACGTTCTAGTCGCGAGACTAGACATGCTCGAGGCGTCGCCTAAGTATGCCCATGTCCGACTTTCTAGTCGTGAGACTAAACACATCCGAGGTGTCGCCAAAGTGTGCTCGTGATTGACGTTCTAGCCGCGAGACTAGACATGCTCGAGCTATCGCCTAAGTATGCTCGTGTTCGACGTTTCTAGTCGCGAGACTAAACACGTCCGAGGTGTCGCCAAAGTGTGCTCGTGATCGACGTTCCAGCCGCGAGACTAGACGCGCTCGAAGTGTCGCCTAAACGAGCTTATGATCAACGTCTTAGTCGCGCGACTAGGTATGCCCGAGGTGTCGCCTAAACGTGTTTGTGACCGCGCGGCTAGACATGCTCGAGGTGTCGCCTAAACGAGCTTATGATCAACGTCCTAGTCGCACGACTAGACATGCCCGAGGTGTCGCCTAAACGTGTTTGTGACCGTGCGGCTAGACACGCCCGAGGTGTCGCTTAAACGTGCTCATGGCCGACGATCTAGCCGCAAGACTAGACATGCCCGCCGTGTCGCCTAAGCGTGCAACCATGCTAGATTCCCCATTTGATCAAACCTGACCACAAATTCACTTAGAGTCCTATGAACTCATAAGTGAACTGGGGGGACTTATTGTAGGAGATGGGTTGTACCCCTCCGCAAGGCCCATCAAATGGGGGAAACTTAGCCCAACACGGTAACGTACTCGGCCCACCAGGTAATATCAAAACGACTCGGCATGAGACGCGTTTAGTAGCGCGACTAAGAGAGTCGGTTGAAGCGCGACTTACCCGGACTACTAAACGGGCCTAATGAGAATCAAGCCCAACAAGGCTTGATTGAACTAGGGCGAACGCGAAGACAGGGTCTATAAAAGGAGAGAGGCAGCAAAGGGAAGGGGGATCCGGAATTGAACATACTCACTTGACGGCTAGATCTAGGGTTTTCTAGTGATTAGGTGGTTAGGTCTAGGGTTTACTCACCCTCTCGTTTAGTCACCTCCCTGTTTAGTCACCTTCCCATTTACTCACCATCTTGTACTTCCGGCTAGTCCGTCGATTTACTCTCTTCTTTGTAACTCTTTGCTCAGATCTAATAAAACGTCTTTGTTCGCCCTCATCTCTCTCTTTATATTGTTTCAAACCATTTTCACCTCAAACAGCCTTCTTGCTCATCTTCTACTCTGGTCTTCTTATCCACATGATAATTATTGTTTCCCCTCATCGAAACTGAACCTTTCTGCTACTGTTGAATCAGACCCATCAAGAATTCAATGTTAATAATGTTATTCACAAAGCTTAAACAACAGAATCTGAGCCAATCACAAAAAGCCAAAATGGATCCTAAAACACATTTCTAATCACTAATAACCGATCAAGAAGACGTAAAGACTAAAACTTCAATAACATTTCGAAGCAAAAGGAGCAAACTTGAAGGAACATCTCAAAAGGAATGGTATGAACTTTACCGAAAAGGAACAAACTTTCGAATCGAATCAGCGACTCTAATCAAAACCCAGAAACTTTCTTTCGATCAAGTAGAGACTCGAGTCGCACCAACAATCCAGAATCAAGAAACTCCCAAGTTCGCACCTTTTTTCAAATCTTTGATTTTTTTTTTTAATTTGATTAATTAATATTTGAACCGGAAATAACCAATTTGAATCACCGACCTCGTGTATCAAAAACGATATTTGACACGTGCTGCTCTGATATTTGTTATCACTAGATCTTCTGTGGAGCCCGTTTGACACGTAGTATTATTAAAATCACTAGAGATTTTCCCGGGCTATGCCCGGGTTATTTGACAATTATCTTTATAATTGATATATAATGCAAATATGCATTATGGCTATGTTATATAAAATATAAATTATATATCAGACATGTAATGATTAAAACTCAAAAAATCTTATCTTTTAATATCTAAGAATATATATGGGATGTTGAGCAAAAACGTGAGATTAATAGAGTTAAAAGCTATAGTTATGGTCCTAGTATTCTTTTATCTTACATGTTTGTGTAATGTTATTTATCTGAAATTAGAAGAGCAAAGCAGCGATGAAAATCCTCACAGAGGAGAAACTTGAGCAGTAGAAGAAAAAGGATGTCAAGGTTTGCCTTTTTTGTTCTTTTCTAATGGTTTGAAACTTAGAATCAGCATGGTTATGTTGTTCTACCAAATTGTTTTGATCCAAGTTTTTGTGAGATTTTTTCCGGAAATCAAATATGAAGATCTTGAAGATTTTTATCAGATAGGCGTTTTGGATCCATGGGAAAGCAGCGTGTAGGTAGAGTCGCTTCTTCCTTTTCACTTGCCATAAAATATAATGATGTTACACCAGATCCCAAAATCCAAAGAGGAGGAAGATGATGTCTCTTATTGCCCATTTTGTCATTTAAAAATTTACTTCTAATAAGAACCACTTTTGTTATGAAAGTTGGGAATTCTTTATGCAGTTTTAATTTGTGTTTTTATTTAGGTTCCATTTAACGCAGTAGTAAGCATTAAAGAATTTGATTACCATTTCAGAATACTTACGTTGATAATTTAATAAGCTAAATTTATCTTTCAATTTGTAGGAAATAATATAAAATGTATACTTTTCTCTTTTTATTGGCGAAAATAATAAAATGAAAATAGTTTTTTAATTAGAGTAAAGTTTACTCTTATCGGATACATGATAGTCACACTCATATAAGAGAGGATTACAGTTAAACCCCTAATTGGGTATCTGAAAAAAAAAATTAATAGTATTTAATAATTTTGGTCCAAATAATTAGATTTCTTTTATATTTCTAAAATATGTGCAATAGAAAGAAAAAAACACTTCGTATTTAAGTATTAGATATGGTTCTCTGCAGCAAACCGATTTTTACTTTCTCTTTCATATTTTAATTTTTAAAATATATGTACATTTTCATATTTTAATTTTTTTATATATTTTGTTAGAGCTTCTGGTTGGAACAGCTCCAATAAGAAAGGTTGGAGTATCTGATTTTATCCTTGGTCTTATCCTTAAGATAATCTATCTTATTAAAAGAGAAGTACTAATATATATTTACCTTTTTACTGAAAATTTATTTAAATCTCGATGCCGCTGAAGCAATAACTCTGTTATCTTTATGTTTTTCTTGTCTTTACAAAATAAAAATGCATAACAATTTCAGTTTCTTTTATAACTAATATATATCATCATCCATTAAATTTTTGTAAGCTAAACATACATTATTAATACTCAATATTTCGACCATTACAACTTTATTAAAATAGATGTCTTTTGATACAATAAATTTTTTTTCCAAATTTTAATTATTTATATATTTGCTGACTCCAAACTGTTATTTTCCTAATAGAACATTTGATTTCAAAATTAACCTAAGTAACTTTTCTTCTTCATTTATATTTATTTATCGGTACTAACAAAACTGTTTATCAAATTTATTATTATTGTATATATTTTATTGTATTAAGTTCTATATTTACTATACAAACATTGTTGTAAAAGAAAATACTATACAAACATTTCGGTTATCCTAATCATAAGTAAAAATTCTATTTAAGAAACACACACCTCTGCATATTCTTTGAAATCATAACAAACGATTCTCATTAGTAAAAAAAAGTTGTTATTTATTTAAAATCATAAATACCAGTAGAATCAATTTCATTCACAAAAAAATATACGCAATATTCCATATAGTAAAATTGGACATAATCATTTGTTACTTATATCATAATATTTCCATATATTGGTGACTAAACTAATTTCTACAATAAGCTAAAAATAAATTATATTATATAAATGAAATCGTGTACGATTAAATAATACTTACTTCCTATAACTATGGGTAGATATTCGGATACATGTTCGGATCGGTTCAGATATATTCGGTTTTTTGATTTAAAGATTTCAGTCTCATTTAGGTATATATAAATTTTGGCCCGAGTTCGGTGGATAACCTGTTTAAATTATTTTAGAAATTTGAAATTTATTTATACTTCACATTTCTCAAAAATCTAAAACATAAAATATTATATAACATATAAATTTGAATAATATATGCCAGAGTATTTGAACTTAATATAAAATTGGTTTGGTTTGAATATTGAGATTGAGAATTAATAAATATTTCAAATATGTTTTTAGTATTTTGAGTATTAGTTAGCTATTTTAAATATTTTAGTTTAGTAATGTATTTATTGGATGTAATCCAATAGACTTATATAAAAGTCCAGCATGCATTTATATGTAATTTATTTAGAATACGGATGGGTGTTATTGATTAATAAACATGATAAAATGATATAATTTAAACGTAAAACAATAATGAATTTACATAAACATAAAATAACTTGTAAAAGTCACATAAACCAATTTAGGTGTCTGTGTACTAAATTTAGAACATAATATCGTGTTCAAATTATATAGTTATATTTCATATTTA